GTGGTGGCAGCACAAGGCTCTTCCCACCCACCCTGACGTCATCATGGACCTTCTGTGCATGCGCAGAAGGTTCTGCGCATGCCCAGATGTACCACACAATAAGAGGATTTCATGCCTGTGGGAATGATAACATAATCAGGAATGTTTAAGGGGTCAAAGTTGCCATTTATACAAAGTGACCTTCGTTTTCCACCTCTTCACTCTCCCCTTATTGCTTAACAGGTTTGGTGGCATAAAAGAAGAGCTAAATCGGCATGATGGAAGATCAGATGGTTACCTAGAGCACATATTTAAACATGCTGCCAAGGAGCTATTCAACACTGAAGTGAAGGAGCTCACCTACAAAATATTAAAGTAAGTTGCTTAACTAAAAGTTAAGCAGAAAGAGACAATAACTGCTTTTCAAGCCACACATACAGGTAGTCCTCAACATACAACAATCGGGAGCAGGATGGCCATGGTAAGTCAGTGTGATCATAAAGCAAGATGTTATGTGAGTGCACCAATTTCAGCATCCATTCTCTGTTGCGGTCATTAACTGAGAATCGTGGGTCATTAAGTACTCACTTCAAGCCTTTCTGGGCTTGGCCCCTCCCAGCTGTGAGCCTCAGTAAGTTAAGGGACTGCTCCCAACTTCCCTCATCTGCCTATCTCCCCCATGCATCTGTGCCCTTTTGGCTACCCTGCATCCTGTCTTACAGGGCGACAAGCAGGCCCAGAACCTGGTGGTTCTGAGGTTGCTTACCACACCCCAGGAAACCTCAAGCTCCTGGCAAGCCCCAGCAAGCATTCGTTCACCCAGCAGCCTTCTCTCCCAGTTCCCCACACCGACATTTGCCTTTTGCACCTAACTGCCACAGCCAAAGCAGGAGAGCTTCACTCTCTTTGCTGCCTCCTTTTTGGACCCAGTTTCTCTGGCAAACTTTTACCATACGGGACTCCTGAGCCTTCATCAAACAGAGATCTTATTTGTAAAGCTGTGCAGTCTTCAGAACACCTTTGGAAAGACAGCACAGCTAATACAGTGCAGCTTTACGAAGGCAGCACAGATTTATGAAGGCTAGGCTACTTTGTTGGCTATAATATTTACTTAAGGCCTTGATACAGCCTTATTTACATATTTGTTTTGTATACAAACCTTCACTTCATGGGTCAGTATTAGATTTGTTCCTAAAACAGTGTAAATAAAGCATGCAATTGCTTAGCAGCCATTGTTTATTTCTGGGTTTTTTTAAAAAAAAATAATGTTTAAGACATCCGCTAAACTTTGGAAGGCTGGGACCCTTGAGCTGAAGTTGCTTTTAGGCACAAGAATTCCAAAGGGAAAGTCTGTCCACAGGGCCACTATCTGAACCTTCAGAGCCTGGCCCCTTTGCCTGCAGGGTAAAATTGTTCTGAATTAGAGAGGCAAAGACTGTCCCTTGCTCTAAAAATCCCAAGACCTGAACTCTTTAAGGTCAGTTATTAGCCTTTCTTTATGAAGACTAGATTGATACAAATAAAATTAGTCATAGTAAAATCAGTCATAATAAAACCACAATGAAAAATATTTGGAGGGGAGGAATAGTAGAGCATTTCACTTACATAAGAAAGTGTGTAAAACAACATGTTGGATTAAGTTGAAAAGAACATGAAGAACCAATTCAGAACCAGACAATAAAGAATTGGTATCGTCACACTTCCAGTATTTCTCCCCCTCTTTTTTTTAACAGAGAGGACCTGCTCATTATTTTACCTGCTGAGCTACTAAGGCATATGAGAGCTACTAAGGGCATATGTCATCAGTATGTAGTCCTAAATAAACAGACACACACACTCGCCTATACCATATATGTATAAATTTATTATATTTGCAATCACTTTCAGAAAAAATAATGAAACAGTTTGGAAAGAGTGATGATTTTCTTTCCAAAAATGAGCAACAAAAGGTGGAGTAGATAGAATTAGTAGAAAGCATTTGTGATCATCAGATATGAAGGTTGAAATAGGAAATCTTATCCATATTTGCTTTGTTTGGGACCAAAACAGAAATCTTTTTCCCCTGTCTTTTCAGAAACAAAGACTTTCAGGAGGTTACCCTAGAAAAGGATGGTGAGACAGTGCTCCGTTTTGCAGCAGCCTATGGCTTTCGAAACATCCAGAATATGATTCTGAAGTTGAAAAAGGGGAAATGTTCCTACCATTTTGTTGAAGTTTTAGCCTGTCCTGGAGGTAATCAACAAACCTGAGACTTCTGCATCACCCTATATAGTTAAAAAAAAAACCGCACACATACATTAATTAAACTCTTTAATATTGCCGAAGCTGATTCTAATTAAGACAGTACTGTCTGAAACTGCACCTAGCAGATTTTAGGTGGGGAGGCTGTATTTGTCCAATATATTTATGTGAACATCTGTAGATGTCATAGGTAGGGTAAATAAAGATGGAGATGCAAAGATCACATGAAAATAGGCTATACAGAATCACGGTGGATGCACCCACTCATTGTTTTTGAGTAAACCAATTTCTCTTGTTTTGGTTATCGGTGTGTAGGTTGTTTAAATGGGAATGGCCAGGCCCAGACTGAAGACGGAAAACCAGATAAAGCCCTTCTGAAGCAGATGGAGGATGTATATGCCACAGTTCCTGTTCAGATTCCTGAAACCAACGGGCATGTGCAGAAGCTTTATCAGGAATGGCTAGAAGGGATGGAGTCCAACAAAGCCCAGGAATCTTTGCATACTAAATACAGCATGGAAAAACCACCCGCCAACAGTTATGACATCAAATGGTGACCAATCCGATTATAAGACATGCATCAGGATTGATGGACCTGCAGCACTGTCACAACTATGCTATGCACCTGAGATCGGCACAACCTTGTAAAGCATGCTCAGAACTGGAACTGCATTTGTTTCCTCATTGGGGTTGTGCAGAGTCAAAATGCAACTGTCTCAGTGTAAATGTGGTGTATCTTTATTTAACCAGAACTCTAGCCCAATCATCAATATACCTGTTAAGGCATATTGGAAGGAAAATAGGGCGTGTTACAAAGTGCTTCAATGCTAACCCCCTTCGGTACTCAAGGCCTGTGTGCCAAGAATCTAATACCATGAATGTGCTCAGAATGATTTTAGGTTAAAGTTTCACTTATTTCAGACTTCATATTATTACCAAACATAGTAAGATGTCAAAATATGATAAAAACCGCCTACTACTAATTTAGTGTCCAGAAAGTAAGGCCTATTTTCTTAATTATGGCAAAAAAGAATGTCTGTGTTTACACTAGTCTGAGAGAGCAGTAGGAACATTGACCTCTGCTAGAAATGAATGTTCATTTGGTCAGCTTTATTTAGCTTCTTCAACTGTTCAGAGAGCAGGGCCCATTGCTCCTTCTCATTGGCATTGATTTCTTCTTGAGAATATTGGGATCCTGGTATCTTAAGTCAAACCTGGTAAATTCTTTTTGACGTTCAAAACTATATTTGGGGGGTTTGTGTCGTCATCAACAATGCTGGAATGGATTGGGGAATCCTGAGTAGGCAACGAGTACTTTAAATCATTAAATCAAGTGGGCAAAGGTCAAGCTAGAATAGGCAAACATCATAAAACCAGAATATTTGGGGGAAAAGGGCTCACCTGATTTAAGATGTATTATAATTCTTTTCAGCATGCCTAATGCTGAAGTTCTAAGTGACGTTTTAAGAAAATATGGTTCAGTGACTTCTTCCTAGAAATACTATTATGTTTTTGGATTTTCTGGGACTTGTTAAAATTTTAAATGTGATAGCAGTGTGCATGCAGATCAGTCACTGATAATCTTTCTAAAGAAGGTAGATATCAAGAGAGATGCATTAATATGTGGAAGAAGGTTGTAGTTCTATTTATCCCTATTATGGACTATTCCATTCAGAACTGCACAAGCAGGCAAAACCTGAACATTCATTTTACCCCGGCATCACACTGCCAAAGTCATTGGAATAAATTAACACTCTGGAGCAGAATTGCTAAAAGGAGAACAAGAGTAAGACTTCTTTCCATGGATCATATGCTGAATATGTAAATACTGTTTATTAGCATGCGGTCACACCCCTCAAAGTTCATGCAGCACTTGACCAAGAAGATTGCTCTTTCTGGGAGATGTCCTAGTAAACCCAGATTTTCTTAGTAGACATGATAGGTTTATATTTTAAGAGCTGCCTATACAATACTGAGATACACTTTCAAGTACATGTTCACTGAAAGGAATGATCAGCAGTTCTTATGCTCCAAAATAGTAATGTGAATCCATTTTGCCCTATTCTGAATCACATCTCTCAAACATATATACAGAGTTACCCCCTTGAACGCTGTGCTCAGGAAGAAAAAAAAAAGCTACAAAGATTGATGATTCTTTTGTTCCATTTCTGTTGTTCTTTTGTTGTGTGAGATCCTTTGAAACTCTGCTACCTTTAGCCTGTCCCATGTTTTCTTTTTCATTAGATGTTCTTACCTCAACATGAATAAGCTTGGATGTGATTTCACTAGGAAATTCTTGGATGTTCTTAAATTGCCAGTTTATAAATTCATAAAATAGGGATATTATTATGACTTTTATGTTGTGAAAATGTAACCTTCAAATGTGAGGTGGTTCAGTGGTATCCCAACAAAGTCATTCGATTTTTACCCAGGACTAACTGAATAGGAAAGAGACATAGGAAATCAAGCAATCATAAAGTGATTTGCTTTTTGGCATAGAGATGTTGGGAAGAAGAGGTGCATTTTATGTACTAACTATACATATGAATTGGGCTATAAAACTGCATAGCCTGTATTCATAATATCTTTGAAACAAGAAAACAGTAATATAAAATAAATACCAGAGTAAAAATACTTAAATTTATCTGCATGGAGGAAAGGAATTTAAAATAGGCGAAGTGCATGTAGGCATACATTAAAATATAAAAGGACATTCTCATGCTACTTTTTCACAGCATCAGCCCATTAAGGTATCAGAGATGGGCCCGCATATTACACACATAGATTCCTTTTTATCACAAGAACATTCTTCTGGGGCTGAAAGATACTGGTGTTTTCTAAGAATACCTTCAACACTTATAGTTATGCAATTGAAAAGGAATTTTGGATGAATGTACCCAAGCTTGCCTAAATTTCTGAAGCAAGGCAAGAGCATAGAAGCACAGTTTTTAATACCTTCAAGTTATGGTGGCAATGTAATTTATTTCTAATTGTGGGTGGGGGAGTTATTGAGTTGCCCTGGATGTTTTGTCCTCCCCTCCCCCCCAATTCTGGCTTTTTTATTCTGTTATAATGTTTTTGTATATACAAATGGGCCACATCCTATGTTAAATACTAGAGCTTACACACTCTGACAATAGTTCAAAAGAAATGTGTGAAAATCCACCTTTTCTGGTGTTCATTAAAGTAGCCATATCACTAATGCAAAAGACAAGAATTTTGTGGATCTTTAATAGTCAGTTGGTTTAATTCATCTTTTTGCAGACTCATACAGAAACCTGAATAAAGACAGGCTGCTTTAATGAATAGCGAAGAGGTGCTACATTCTTAGCAGGTCTTCTGAATCATTTTCAAAGGATATGCAATCTCTTTTATATAATTTAACTTGATGTTATACATATTTTAACTGCTTGTAATGTATGTGCATGGTAGACTTTGGAAAATATGGATATCAGTAAAAGATTTTTAAATAAACATGTCCAGTGTTCAAAATACTCTGCGACATAAATTTACATATATTGGGGAGGGGATGCTTTTTTGTGCCAAAAATGGAGGCTGCTCAGTGTAAATCAAGGGTTATGAAAAAGTCACTGACCCAAGCAAATTCTTATTGCATGTCACATCCATAGTACTACAGTTTCCCAGATTTGTCCCCGCTCGGGTTAATGAAGCACCACAGAAACAACAGATTTATTTAAAAACTGCTCGCCTCCTGAGTTACTTGGATCTTTTTGTCCTCATTGTAGGGTCTCTACTTACTCAATGAAAGACAATACAGCACAGTTCCTAACAATTCGTGTTTTTCCTGATACGAAGTGGTCTACAGTATGTTAAGCAAAGCTTGCTTCCTTTGCAGTACATTGATGTCTTTCCATGATGGAAAACTGGATGGTGTCATCCTTTTTGCATCTCAGAAAGATATCTATACTTTTCAAAAAGCCACAGGTGTGAAATGTGGTTAATATGCTGGAACTGTGGCTATGCAAAATATGAGTTGCAGGAGGTCATCATTACAAAATCTGTTACACCATTAACCTATTAATCATAACATTCTATGAAATTGTCAGCAAGTACCCTTAAAGGGAGAACTTACATTAAGCATCTGGAGTGGAAGCATTGGAAGATTGGACTTGTGGACTTATTTGACCCTAGCTCTTTTATTGATCATTGCATTATAACAAAATTTTTAAGTTCAAGGTTGTAGAAATCTTAATCATTTCTCAACTGTGCATCTGATCCATTAGGTCCACTGTCTTAATTAGTTGCGATGACCCAGTGGTGGGTTCCCGATCCTGTTCCAACCGGTACNTCTCCCCTCTTTCTGGATTCGCTCTGAAGTTTTTAAAATTACCTCTTCTGTAGAGACCAGGTTATCAGCCACATGAGACATATACTGTGTTTCTATAGCACAGTAATCCCCTCCCCAAACAACACACAATGCCAATTTAGAAGCCCAGAGGAGAAGCAGCAGTCCGGGGCGGGGGGCGGGGGAGGAGCTGAGCTTGGACAGCCTTGGAGGCAGCTGCTAGCTCCGAGAGAGAGAGAGAGAGAGAGAGAGAGAGAGGAAGAGAGGAAGAGAGGGGGAGGGAGGGGCTGCTCAAAGCAACAGAAAAAGAAAAAATCCGTGAGGAAAGTCCGCGGTCTCCACATGGAGTAAGTCTTCTCCTCCCTCAACCATTGGCAACAGCTCCCAGAGATGCGCGGGTGGGAATGCACTCGTCTCGAAGAAGAATATATGCTCCCAGTTGCTAGGAGAGCCTCGGCGGCTGGAGGCTTTTTTGTAACTTAAAAAAAAATCAGGACTTTTAAAAAAAACCCGGGATGCGGGAAAAATTGTGAAAAAGCATGACTATCCTGCCAAAAGTGGGATGTCTGGTCACCTTAATTATTGTTGTATTTACCCACCCAACCTCTGGAGTATTGTTCATCCATTCAGCTGTCTTTAGGTGACATGTTTAAGGCAGGGGTGAAATGCTACCGGTTGAGGCGAACCAGTAGTAAAAAAATGCATAACAAAGTAAAAAAAAAAAAGTTCTGACGATCAGCTGTGCTGCACAATGGTATAAACTTTTTTTTACTTTTTTTTTTTTAGCATTTGGGGTCCGGTTTTTGCTCCCAGAAGACTTCCCTGAGGCCTGCTAGGCCAAAAACAGGGGAGAGGGTTGCAAAAGAAAGAAGGAATGAGTGAGTGAGGGAGGGAGAGGGAGAGAGATGGAGGGAAAAAGGAAAGAGAGGAAGAACCACAAATGTAGCACTAGACGCAGCTTCAGAGGATACCTTGAAACAGCACAGCAATCCAGGGCTGGAAGGGACCTGGGGTCATCTAGTCCAACCACCTGCTCCAGTAGGACATTGTTAAAGTTAGTTCCTGTCTTTTGACACCCCCCAGTCACATGACTACATAGCCATACCCACCCGGTCACATGACCCCACCACCCACAGAACCTGTAGGAAAAAAGTTTAGATTTCGATACTGGTTTAAAGTGACATGAGGATGGGCAGTTTGAAGATTAGAAACTCAACTTTCTGAAGGATTATGGAAGCCCATTTGGTGATGTTATGATACCACCACAAGGGTCTATTTGGGAGTTGGATTTTTTTCTTAGAAGGTTTAAGAGGGGATTGGAGTGGTTGTTTTTCTGATCTTAAAACCACTCTGAAACTCGGTTGATATTCTACCATTTTGCCTCCATACTTCTGCAGGAATTTCACCAAATTTCACAAAATCACCTCAATGTGTAGGAATATTGCTGACAGTTGATTGGAAATGAATTGCTGTTTGTGATAAAGTACCTTTTTAGATGTATGAGAACCAGAAAGAGTAGAAATACAATAAAGTTCCTTTTTTTCTTTGAATTTCTTTTGCATTGCTTTTTGGAAATCAGTGGTTTTATTCTATTCACTTTTGAAGAATAATCTTTGTTTTTGGAAGAGATCTGTTTAGAGCAGATGATGAGACATAAACAAATTCAGTGACGTACATAACCATTGTTTTTCATTTTGCTTTTTGTTTAAATATACTCATTCTCTGCTTATTTGTTGCACTGTCTTTTAGGTTTCCTAGCATTTGAATTCTTCACCAAGGTCTCCACCCAAAAGGCATTAGAAGTTGTGAGAAATTCATTACAAGTTTTTCAAATGTATGCCTGACATCATCTTGAAGGAGTATATACAGAACATAGATTTGACTTGTCTCTACATTTAGTGATTCAAAAAATAGCTCAGTTCACCATGGATTACTTGGAACTCTTCCCTTCTTCAATTTGTGGGCCAAATTATAATCTTGGTTTAGATACCGTTCCAATAAAATGAAAAGGAGAACATTTGTCATGCTTGACATAATTGGATGAAAGTACATATTACAAAACTCCAATGTTATGACAGAAAAATATATATTTTTATCCTCTGTCCCCACACCATCTTAATCATGCTTTCTTCCAACATAGTTCAGGCATTATTTCCTCAAATCACTAATTTTGTCTACTAACCACACCCTGGAGGCCTGCCAACAGATAGGAAGTTTGCAAAAATCTATTTACGGTAATTCTCCCCAGGACAGAGGGGGCAATTTTTTTTCATCTTGCATCTATGCAATGCATGTTTCACATAAACTAAGAGATTTCCAATGCATTCATCTTTTGCCTTAGAAAATTGGCCTTTTCTTTTTTTGGCAAATTTTCAGGTATTGCAGTACAGCTTTTTAGATGGAACAGCTAAATCTTTCAACATTATTAGAATATGGATTTGGACATTATTGAACAGGATGTATTATCTGAATTGATGAATTAAACAATTCAGGCACTTATTCTGAATCTCAGGATCAGTTAATACATTGTTCTTTAAAATTCTTTAGGGATTTTGTTAGATGTATTTTGACACGTATTTAATAGCAGACACAACTCCTGGTATCACCATGACTATATGGTAAGAAAGAGGATGTTGGCTAGATAGTTGTTCCCCTGTAGTACTGCAGGGGTTGGTCTTCTCCCCACGACTATTTAATATCTACATAAAGTAACTGGAAGGGATCACCTGTCATTTTAAGGTTCAATTCCATCAGTATGCTGATGATACTCAGTTTTACATCTTTACTTGAGTCATATGGTTGCACTCTTGAGGTCTTGGTGTCTAGAAG